TTTTTCATTATGAAGGTCACTTTAGCCAAAGTGACATAAGTGAGTCAATCAACAAGCATTTATTAAGCACCTACTGTGTGCCAGCCACTGTGCTAGGGACAAGAAGAAAGGTTGGAAACATGGCCCTTGCCCCCAGGAGCTCCCATTATAGCATGGTAGATAACACGTAAATAACCATGTACAGACAGGATAGACACGGTATAAATGGACAGTATAAAGCACCAATAGTTGAAGAAATAGGGAAAGATTGAACTTAAGATGATGAGTCTTGAAGAAAGCCAAAGGAGCTAGAAGGCAGAGGTGAGGAAGGAAAACATCCCAACCATGGGGTACATAGAGCCAGAGAAAAGTTGAGAAATATAGCATCACAAGTGAGGAATAGCAAACAAACGCTCAGGTACCTAGATCAGAGTACATGGAAAAGAGTACAGTCTAAGCCTGGTGTGGCTGCACTGGCCTACAGTTCCTGCTATTACCCAGGAGGCTGCCTAAAGAGGAGCAGATCTGCCCTGGTCCGAAACTAAGGTGGTCAAAATTCCTGACAAATCATTAATGGGACGGGCCCAATAGCAGCCCTGCAGTCCTAGCAGGGGCAAGATTGGAACACCCAACATTCAAAAATAAATAAATAAATAAAGATAGAACTGGAAACAAGAGTAATTCAGATCAAAATGAGGTTCTTTTACTATTAGTTATCCAGATAGTTACCAATGATGGCTTATATGAGAAGTTGCACAAAAAAGGTAAAGTTGCAGGTCATTAATCAATGACCTAAAAAAAGAGATGAGTGAGTCTTGCAGTGAGAGTGAAAGACAACAGATGAACAGCTTGAACACAGATAGCTACATCAGTATATTAAAAGAAAAAAGCTTTAAGCACTTTAAGGCCAGGTTCTCTATAGATAATTCATAGAAGGTCATATGGGAGAATGGGCAGCTAGGTGGTGGATAGAGTGCTGAGCCTGGAGTCAAAAAGACTCATCTTCCTAAGTTCAGATTGGGCCTCAGACTCTTACTAGCTGCATGACTCTGGGCAAATCACTTCACCCTGTTTGCCTCAGTTTCCTCTATCTGTCAAATGACTTGGAGAAGGAAATGACAAACCACTCCAGTATCTTTGCCAAGAAAACCCCAAATGGGGTTACAGAGAGTCCGACACAATTGAAACTGACTGAACCACAATGGAGGAGAAGAGATCCAAGGAACAAAAGCACTGAGGTCTGCTTTACCCACAATGATTCACTCAATTAAATGTCTCAAACTATTTCTCTGAATTTTCTACTTCACTTGGTCAGTGGAGTTCTGGCCTATATGCTTCCATTTCCCTATCATTTTCCCCACAGATGTTAGCTCACTTTTTTTTTTGTTCTTTTTTTTTCCTATTGTTGTTGTTATTTAGTCCTTTTCAGTCATGTCCAATTCTCCATTTGGGGTTTTCTTGGCAAAGATACTAGAGTGGTTTGCCATTTCCTTCTCCAGCTCATTTTACAGATGAGGAAACTGAGGCAAGCAGAATTAAGTGACTTGCCAGGGTCACACAGCTGGTAAGTATCTGAGACCAGATTTGAACCCAGGAAGATGAGTCTTCCTGATTCCAGGCCTGGCACTCTCTGCACTATGCCACCTAGCTGCCTATTTATTCCTACAATATAATTCAGCATCAGAACTTAGCATAGTGCATTGTCCCTAGTAGATTATCAACAGATAATTGTTGAATGAATGAAAGAATTCAACAAATGAAGGGGTTTTTTAAATGTTTCAGTTCTGCTAAGAGTTTTGATCTACCTTTGAGAAAGAGAAGATATTACAATACAAGTGTTCCAGGTTGCACAGTTCAAGAGAATCCCAGTGTTTCCTTTTGCCCAGTGACCTCAGAATTTCTGTGCTTCCCTTCATCCCCTGCTGTCAATGAAAGCGTGGTGTGGAGAGAAGGTACACACCCAGACATTCAGCTAACACCACGAGCTCTAACATCAGGATGACCAAAATATCTGAGAGTGAACAGCAAAGCTGCACAGGGAGGTAACATGCCATAAGAAATGACAAAAGGGATGGATTCAGGAAAACCTGGGGAGACTTATATGAACTGTTGAAGAGTAAAAGGAGCAGAAATAGAACAATTTATACAATGACTACAACATCATAAAGAAAAACAACTTTGAGAAACTTAAGACTCTTTGACCCAGCAATATCACTATTACGTACGTGTCCCAAAGAGATCAAATGAAAAGGAAAAGGACCTATTTGTACAAAATATTTATAGTAGCTCTTTTTGTGGTGGCAAAGAATTGGAAATTGAGGGGATGACCATCAACTGGAGAATGATTGAACAAGTTGTGATACGTGATTGTGATACATGCTGTAAGAAATGACAAGCAGGATGCTTTCAGAAGAACTTGGGAAGACTTATATGAACTGATGCAAAGTGAATAGAGAAGAATGGTGGAATCATTGTGCACAGTCACAGCAATGTTGTAATGATGATTAACTGTGGGTGACTTAGCTATTCTCAGCAATACAATGATCCAAGACAATCCCAAAGGACTCTTGAAAAATGCTATTCACCTTTAGAGAGAGAAGTGATGAAGTCTGAATGCAGATTGAAGTATACTTTTTTTTTACTTTATTATTCTGGGATTTTCATCTTCATTTTCTTTTGCAACATGTCTAACACTGAAAATTTTTGCATGACTGTGTATGTATAATCAATATCAAATTGCTTGCCTTCGGGAGGGAGGGAGGGAAGGATAGAATAGACAATACAAAATTTTTGAAACAAATGCTAAAAATTTTTATTTACATATAATTAAGAGAAAAAAAGGAAAAATTTAAGAACTGATCCATTCAATGGCCAACCACAACTCCAGAGGACCATGGATGAAACATGCTTCCCACCACTTGAAAGAGAGGTAACAGACAAGGTATAGCAGGAGTCATAATTTTCCAGAGATGGTTAATATATAGACCTGTTTCATGTGACTATGCTAACTTAGTGAAGGGAAAGTTTTGTTTTGGTTTATTTGGAGGAGGAGGAGGAGTGTGTGTGTGTGTGTGTGTGTGTGTGTGTGCATGCACATGCGAGCACACAGAGAACTGAGGGAAGGAGGGCAAGTTATAGATTAAACAAAAAAAGGAAGAAGTTTCAGTGAAGCATTTTGGAAAATGCACTGCCCCACATAGCTGTCCTAAAGCTTATTTGTTCTTCAGACCAGCCCTGTGTTATTGTTTAGTCGTTTCAGTCCCATCTGACTCTTCATGATCCCATCTGAAATTTTCTTGGCAGAGATACTGGAGTTGTTTGTCATTTGTCCTTCTTGAACTCATTTTTACAGGCAAGGAAACTAAGGAACACACAGTTAAGTGATTTGCCCAGGGTCACACAGCTGCTAAGAATCTGAGGCCACAGTTCAACTCTTCCTGACTCCAGGTCCAGCACTCTATCCACTGCAGTAAAAGTCTTTTAACCTCTGTCTGCCTCAGGTTCTTAATCTACAAAATGGGTACACTAATTGTACTTCCTCCCAAGGTTCTTGTGAGGATAAAATTTGCAAGCGAACATCTGTAAAGTGCTTTGCAAATCTCAAAGAGTTACACAAATGCTATTATTATTGTCTAGCCCATATCTATCCAATCCAATAAATATTTATTAACCACTAACTACATTCTAGGCATTCTGCTAAGCACTTGGGAAACAATAAAAAACAGGAGTTTACAAACTACAGGGGGAGACAAAAGGAGGCAGAAAATGAAGGGGGGCTGGTGGTTTACAAAAAAAAACAAGGGGTATCTAATTCTCCAGAGTTGAAACCAGGCAGAGAAGCAGATGCAAGGTGGAGTGAGCTGAGAACCCAGCTCTCACCTTTTCCACAAGAATAACTGAGGTGCCATAACTGTTTTACTCCAATTTTATATTCAGGTGAAAACTGACATGTATGTATCTGACTTCAGGTCATCCAGAGAAAAAGCTGAAAAGGAACCAATTAGATCTCTCTAAGTTCAAGTGAAATAGGGCTGCTTTTGATGATCAAGACGTGGTGTCATTTCGCCCCAGGAACAAAGGCAGGGTGGTCAGAGAAAAATCTAAACAATCACCTCAGGAAATGAAGCAAAAAGGGGTAACCCAGCTTAAGACAATATGAGGCAATGTGCGACTAGAACAGAAAACCGTTTTGCCACAACCACAGGGATGTTGTAAGTTTCACTCAAAAAGGTGCACACCCAGCCCCATTGAATGATAAACTGGCTGAATTCTGGACCAAACCAAATCAGGTTCTCTCCCTCAGCTGAGACTCTCTGACCATCAGGTTTGTTTAGCTTTTAAAAAAAAAAAAGAAAGAAAGAAAGAAAAGAAAAGAAAAAGAAAAAGTTGTAAAACCAGATCACAAGATCTCAGGATTTAAACCCCATTGGATCTGGAGATGCCTTTAAAAAAAAATCTCAGGTAGTCTTTATTATTTTTTGTTTCAAGGGGAAAGGTGGAATAGAGGAAATTAAGGGTCTGGGGCCCGTACTCCTTTTCTTTTACCTGGAAAGCTAACTAACAGCTGGAAGATCATGCAGCCGTGCACCAAGCTGGCTGGACTCCAAATCTTATCATTCTTTCCTCAAACATCGATAAAAACCAGGTACCAGCGACAGATCAGCCTCTATCCCAAACAAGGCCAGCGGGATCCAGATTTCAGAAACAAAGAATATTAACAACAGACAGGCCGAGTGCCCACGAGAGAGCTCTTTCCCCGAGGAACTCAGCCAAACGAAGCCCCCACGAGCCCGAGGACCCGGGGGGCTCGAACTCGCAGGAGGCGCTGGGAGTCCGGTCTGCCAGTAGGCATCAGCCCTGCAGGGACCGGGAGAAAGGGGCAGTGCTGACAGCCGCCCCCGGCGAGCTTACCAGCTTCGTCGCACGGTAGGGCCCGGGTCCAATTATTCGGTGCTCCATGCTCCCCGGCCCCCTCCAGTGGAGCCCCGCTGCGTCCCCGGGCACGGAAGGGGGAAGCTTACCCGGGAGATTCCGAGCCGGGCTCGGCCCGGGCAATAGGAACAGTTTGAATCGCGAGCCTGGAAGGACTCCGTGCTCTGATTGGGCGTCGTGAGAGGGCACGTGACGAGAACCATACGTCACAAAGAGAACGCGGAACCCCGGGACTTGGAATCTGGTGGTAGCCCCACACCAAAAAACAAACAAAACAAAACAAAACAAAAAAACAAAACAAAACAAAAGGTCATTCGACTTACATGACTCTTTTCCCAGCAATACCACCATCAGGCATATACCTCTAGAGAGATCAAAGAGGGAAAGAATCCATATATGTACAAAAATGCACATTTGTACAAAAAAAAGTGCTGCTATAACACTTCTGTGGTAGCAAAAAACTGGGCAACAGCTCCTTCGACCCTGTGGAGGACAACGTCAGCTCTCTTCCTAGCCCTGATAATTGAACCGCAGGCACACACATTTCGACAAAGAGAAAGAGAACTCCTCTACCCCCTTCCTTCCTAGCACCACCCCCCGCCCCCAACCCGAAATGACCGGCAGAGCTCGCTGTCCAGCTCCAGAAGAGAGTCCATACTTAGAGGGGAGAGCAGGAACAGAGAAAAAGGGGTGACCGGAAGAGAGAGCTCCTAGCTTTAGGGCTGGAAGGGGCCTTAGAGGTCTCCTAGTGCAACTCCCCTCATTCTATAGTCAAAGAACATTTATTAAGAGTCTGCTATGTGCCAGGCACTGTTCTAAGTGTTCAAAGAAAGGTAGAAGATAGTCCCTGTTCTCAAGGGGCTCACAGTCTAATGCGGGAGAACTTGCTAACGCCAGTGTACGGTAAATAATATGTTCTGGATGAATTGGAGATAATCAACAGAGCGAGTGCACTAGCATTAAGAGGGATCAGGAAAGGTTTCTTGCAGAAGGTGAGGTTTCAAGTGGGACTAGAAGGAAGCCTCCTGGAGCAGAGGAAAAGAATCTCAGGTATGGAGGAAGAGGGGGTGGAAGAGGGGCAACCAATGAAAATGGATGGAGTCTGGACAATGGAGTCTTTTTCACAAAACAACAAGCCCAGTGTCATTGGGTGTGAATTGGAGAGGGAACTAGAGGTGTGTAAACTATAAGCAGACTAGAAAGGTGGGGAGCTGGGGGCAGGGCAGATTATAAAGGACCTCGAATGAGAAAATCAGGATTTTATATTTGATCTTGGAGATGATCGGGAACTTATTGAGTAGGAGGGTAAGGTGATCACCCTTGATTTAACAAGATCAGTTCTGTAGCTGAGTAGAGAGGATGTACCGGAACGGGGAGAGACTTGAAGCAAGGGAAACATGCCAGAAGGCACAGCAACCCTGGCATGGTGATAAGAGTCTTCCCCAGGGTGGTGGCCCTGCCAGAGAAGAGAAGGCATTTGTATATAGAGTTGAGCAAACTGAACACAGGCATTATTACAGGTAATATAGATAGTAATTATTTTTTATTACACAGATAATAAGTGGATAAGCATAGGGTGATACATGACCACTATGTAAATGGATTTCTTCAGAGAACTGGAAAAACTCCCATTTGGAAGGAAGTGATCTTAATCTTTTTAAGGCGTTCTCACAGAATGACCAAATTATTGAGTTGGAAAGCACCTCACAGGCTTAATCCAACCTGTAACTGGGAAGGAATCCACATGAACATAGTCAACACACAGCTATTCAGGTAAGCCTCCAGCCGGAGGGTGGGAGGGGAGGCTACCTGGAGCTACCTCCAGAGGCAGCTTTTAGATGCCTCTGATTGTTAGGAAGTTCTTCCTGACAAGAAGCCCAAATTTGCCAAGTTTCTGCTTCTACTCATTGCTCCTGCTTCTGCCCTCTAGAGTCAAACAGAATCAGCCTAATCCCTCATCTATGTGCTAGCCCTTTGGATACTTGAACACAGTCTGTCAAGTTTCTCCTGAATCTCCTCCCAGCTCCTTCAACCCATTCTTATATGACACAGACTTAAAGCCCTTCACCATCCATGGGGGCAGCGAGGTGGCCCAGTAGATAGAGCACAGACCCTGGAGTCGGGAGGACCTGAGTTCAAATCCAAACTCAGACACTTGGCACTTACTAGCATGTGTGACCCTGGGCAAGTCACTTAACCCCCTCACCTAGTCAAAAAAAAGAAAAGACAAGAAAAAGTTGAGATCTTGAGAAACAGACCTAGGAATGAGGTGGTAAAAAATTTTGTGTATTCTGTCCTCATCAGAACAAATTTTGATTATTATCTTCAGTTCTCAGTGCCACAGTTTAGGAAAGGTCCTTTTCTCTCCATTTCATAGGTGCACAACTATAGGTCATGTCTTATAACTAGATGGTATAGTAGAAAAAATGTCAGATTTGGATTTATGAAGACTTGATTTCAAATCTTGCCTGAGATCCTTCCAACTGTATGACCTTGGACAAAAAACCCCTCTCAGCCTTAGTTACCTCATTTGTAAAATGGGAATAGTAACAGCACCTATCTCATAGAGTCAATGTCAGGATCAAATGAGTTAATATATGTAAAGCACTTTACAAACCTTAAAATGCTATATAAATGGTAGCTATTATTATGTATGATACATAGCAGGCACTTGATAAATGTTTATTGACTCAATATTTGTTTCCTCAGAACTCTTACAATAGCCTCCTAATTGATCTCTGTGCTCCTACTCTTTCCTTTCTCCAATCCATCCTCCACAAAGTTGTCAAAGTAATTTCCCTGAGACACAAATCAGTCCGTGTCATTCCACTCTCAAGAAGCCTCACTTTTACATATGTGTGTGTGTGTGTGTGTGTGTGTGTGTGTGTGTGTGTGTGTGTGTGTATATGCAGCCTAACATCAATCTGGCTCCCACCTACCTTTCCAAATTTGTTTCATGTTACTACTCTTTTTTGCACTATTTGTTCTGGCCAAACTGGTTCACTACCTAATCCTCTCATTTGACATTTTATCTCTGTGTTTTTTAGTAAGCTGGCCCTCCTTACTGAAATGTACTCTTTTTGAGAAGGATAAACAGAAAAAAATAATAGGGAGGGAAATACACAGTTAGCAATCATAACTGTGAATGGGATGAACTCAACCATAAAATAGAAGCAGAATGGATTAGAAACCAGAATCCAACAATATATTGTTTACAAGAAACACACTTGAAACACAAAGATATGCCCAAAGTTAAAATAAGGGCCTGGAGCAGAATCTATTATGCCTCAGTTGAAGTAAAAAAAAAAATGCTTGAGGTATCTAGGTGGCACAGTGGATAGAGCGCTGGCCCTGAAGGCAGGAGGACCTGAGTTCAAATCCAGCCTCAGACCAAACACTTGACATTTACTAACTGTGTGACCCTGGGTAAGTCACTTAATCCCAATTGCCTAAAAAAAAAATGCCATGTACCAATCATGATCTCAGATAAAGCAAATGCAAAAATAGACCTAACTGAAAGAGTTACTCAGAGAAACTATATTTTGCTAAAAGGTACTATGGATAATGAAGTAATGACAATACTAAATACATATGCACCAAATGGCATAGCATTCAATTTCTCAAAGGAAAAGTTAATGAATTACAGGAGGAAATTGACAGTAAAATTATATTAGTGGAGGACCTCAATTTACTCCCTCTCAGAACTAGATAAACCTAAACATAAAATAAGTAAGCAAGAAGTTAAGGAGACAAATAGAATTTTAAAAATGTTAGATATAATGGACTTCTGGAGAAAATTGAATGGGAATAGAAAGGAATATATCTTTTTCTCAGGTGGCGGTGGCACCATCACAAAAATTGAGCATGCATTAGGGCATAAAAACCTCATAAACAAATGCAGAAAAACAGAAATATTAAGTGTAACCTTTTCAGACCATAATACAATAAAACTAGGGCTGATCCTTCTCCACATTGAGGACTTTAATTGGGAGGGGTTGGGGCCATTCTTTCTGTCTCAAGGGATTTTTATTTCTCTAATCATTGAATGATTTTGTACTATCAGGTTAATGGTGGAAAACCATTCTGGAAAAACTACTCTATTGAGATACATCTATCCTTGTGTGGACCAAAAGTCCTACTACAGGCCTAAAGTATCTTGAACTATAATGCAAACACTATGCCTTATGGCATCCTTATACCAGTAAATGTTATTACTCTGAAACATATATGATGATTTTTAATAGTGGGTCATCTGATAGAAAAGCACTAATCTAGGAGTCAGGGGACCTATGTTCAAGTCCTACTTCTTCTGCCTGTTGGCTGTGTGACATTGTGCAAATCATCTAAGCTTTCTGGGTTTCTGTTTACTCTTCTGTAAAAATGACATAATGGATAATTCATATTTAAGATCCTTTCCAGCTCTAAAATCTATGATAACAATCAGAGACTTGGGGGAAGGGAATGAAGGGGAAAGAAATCCCATGGATTAAAAATAATTGTCATTTAAGGACTGATTAATACTTTTCCTAATGTAATATCTCACAATTGTAGGTGAAATAAATCAAACCAACTTTTAAAAGATAACACAGTCATCTTTTTATGGTTAGTCTCACTTCTCTCTATAATTGCAATCCTTATATTCCATGTACAAGTTATACTATACTAATATTCAAATTTCATCTATTCTCCCAGCAAACTAGAGCATATGCTTTCATTTTTTTTAATTAAAGGAAAAAATTGTTGCATATGAAACTACAAATATATTATATGCAACTTCCTTTTCCTTTTAAATACATAATAAAGTTATCATGTAACTTTCTTTTTCCCCTTCCCCCCACTAGAGAAAGCTACCATTAGACACAAATATGTATATATTATACATCTATTTATCAACTGTTTCTCTGGATGCAGATAGCATCTTCTTTCACATGTCCTTTGTAGTTAATTTGGGTGTTTATAATAGTCAAAATGACTTAGTCACTGAAAGTTGTCTTAAAACAGTATTGTTGTTACCATGTACAACATTCTCTTGGTTCTGCGTGTTTCACTCTTCATCACTTCATGCAAGTATTTCCATGTTTTTCTCAAATCAACCAGCTTATCATTTCTTATAGCTCAGTAGTATTCCATCATAATCATATACTACAACTTGTTCAGCTCTTCCCCAATTGATGGGTATCCCTGCAATTTCCAGTTCTTTGCCACCACAAAGAGAGCTGCTATAAATATTTCTGAATATATAAGTTCTTTTCCTTTTTCCCTAATCATCTTGGGAAACAGACCTAATAGTGGTATTGCTAGGTCAAAGTGATAGGCAATTTAATAACTCTTTGGAAATAACTCCAGATTGCTCTCAGAAATGATTGGATCAGCTCACAGTTCCACCAGCAGTGAATTAGTGTCCAATGTTTCCACATCTTCTCCAACATTTGTCACTTTCCCCTTCATTTTAGCCAATATGATGGGTGTAAAATGATATCTCAAGGTTATTTTAATTTGTACTTCTCTAATCAATAATTATTTAGAACATTCTTATATGTCTATAAATTATTTGACTTCTTCATCACAAAACTGTCTGTTCATATTTTTTGACCATTTATCAATTGAAGAATGATGAGACCAGTTTTCTGCTTTCCTTCTGATCTTAGCTACATTGTTTCTATTTGTACAAAACTTTTAAATTTGATGTAATCAAAATTATCCACTTTACACCTCTCTACCTCTTGTTTACTCATAAATTGTTCACCTATCCATAAGTCTGAAAGTAATATGTATTCATTTTGACCTTATTTTGGTCAAATGGTGTAAGACATTGGTCTATGCCCAATTTCTGCCAGATTTCTTTCCAGCTTTCCAATCAATTTTTACCAAAGAATGTATGCTTTCTATTATTTTTACTAAGGAGTTCATTATGCTTGATTATCCCCTTTGACCCATCTGCCCCCTCCCTTTATCTTCCTCTCTCCACCACAACCATTATGTCTCAAAGTTATACTAATAAAACTCTTACCAGAGAGCTGCCATTCTACAAATGCTATTTAAACAATTCTCATCTTTTGTCATGAGGTCCAACATGTCCAGGTCATGACCTCTGTTCCTTGTATGATTCTAGCACCAGGATCCCTCCACCCACCCAGTTTTATCCCTTTGTCCTCTATCTAATACAGCTTGAGGCTGGAGGAGAGAGAGTAGTTGGTAAAGGTTGGTGAGAAAAAAATGTCTCACACCTACCTAGAAGGTCACAGCTTGACTTGGTCCAATGGACAGCCTTTACTTTGGTTTCTCATTACCCCCAAATGCATAATTACAAAAAGCTTTTGCAATATGACTTAATAAGACTTTGTACAATATGAACTACCCAAGGGTAAGCAGGGTAATCAAACACTTTTTATAATTCTTTTAAATGCTTTTTAATCTATTTCTCCTGGAATTCCTCTCTTGTAGAGGATGACATTTTGATCCTTCTCTACACATTATTCTTTTAAGTCACTGGAATAACTGAAACAAATTATTGTTACCCTAAGATTGGGTATATTTTTTCCTGCTATCATCTTTTTGCAATGTTCAATTGGCATTCTAGATGCAACCATTCAAATCACTCCTCAGAACCTATCCTACATAATTAAGATTCTGAAACACTTTTTTAAAAAACTTAAACTATTCATCTAGTTGAGAAATTTATTTCCCTACTTTCATTAAAGAGTTGAGGAATATGGGTATGGACTACTGTATTGTCAGATGCAACTGATATGTTGGCTGATTTTACTAAGCTTCTTTTTTCCTCCTCTTTTAAAAATATTTGTGACTAGGGAAAGCTTATTTGGAAAGGGAGAGGGAAAGATGTTCAGAAATAAATAGGATATTAAAACGCCATCAAAAGTTTTTTAAATAAAATACTCATTTACCCATGAAACAACGGCAGATGCCTCAAAAATTTATAAGTGCTTAGATTTTAGTGTAATTCTGTTTCTAACCTGGGGTATTTTGCATAACCAGGCATGCAGAGGAAACCAGCTCTTCATGAAGTTCCTGATTTCCAGTTTGCCTTCCTATGGACTTCAGGGAATTTCCCCTTGAGCGAGAACAAGGTCTTTATCCCTCTGTCTGTCTTTCTGTCTCTGTGTCTGTCTGTCTGTCTGTCCCACTTTCTCTGTCTCTTTCTCTCTCTCTCTCTCTCTCTCTCTCTCTCTCTCTCTCTCTCTCTCACTCTCTCTCTGTCTCTCTCTCTGTCTCTGTCTCTCTCTGTCTCTCTCTGTCTCTGTCTCTCTCTCTTTCTCTCTCTCTCTCTCTCTCTCTCTCTCTCTCTCTCTCTCTCTCTCTCTCTCTCTCTCTCTCTCTCTCTCTCTGCTGAGATATCTTGCTCCCAGCAGAAGAACTTATTGCACCCTATGTATTTTCTGGTATATTCCAAGCCAGAAGTTCTTAAACTTTTATTGTGACATGAACTCCTTATATATAAAGGTTTGATGAAGCCTCCCAGATGCCTTCTCAGATTTATTTTAAAATATGTAAAATAAAACACATAAGATTACAAAGAAAACCAATTATACTGAAAATCATTATCGAAAAAAAATTTTTTAAGTTTATTGACCTGAGGTTAAGAACTCCTGTTTTAATATAATTTCTTCTATATAATTCTATAATATATAATGTATAATTTCTTATATATGATTCTATAACTTTAATATAATTTCTTTTATTGCTGTTTGGTCTTCACTTGGATAAATGGGTTTACTTGCTCTTCATTATATGGGATGGTCTTTTGCATAATTAGTATTTGGTGGGAAGGAATCAAATTGGTAAATATGAGCTAAGAGCTACCCTCCTTCTTTTGAGGAATAGCCATCAGGGAAGCTAGAAGCATTTCTTTTTTCTGAACCAATTGTGCCCCTAGACCAGATATATGTAGGAAGGAAGATACAAATAATTCCTATCCAGTAACCCTCTATTAAACACTAAAACACAGAGTGGCGGGCCTTGTGACCCCTCTTCCTATTCTCCTCAAGGCAGGAGTTGCATTGTCCCTTGGAGGGGGATGAGAATGATTCCAGAGTTATATTTATCAATGTCTCCCCTGAGTCACATTTAGGCAGCCATGTGGACACATATATCTTACATGGGTACTCGCAGACCTCATATTGGTAATCCCTGTTCCCTTTCTGTAGAGGCAAAAGAGGGGAAAGGAGATAATTAGCTTTTTCTTTTCCCATCATTCTGTCTATTCTTCCCTGGAGCCACTTTGACTCCTGAGGCTACCTTGACTTGAGATGCTCCATCTATTTCTCTGACCATCCTCTCCTACCTGCTAGTTTCTCATATTAATGGAGCTACAGTTTTCCCCCTCTCCCCCCCTCATTTCAAGATCCTAACTCAAAAAAGGGAAGTTCTTTTTCTGTTCCCCCTGCCTTGGCATTGACATTATTTCTCTCTCCGTTCCTAATCCTTCAACAGATCATTTCTACCACTGCTTCTAAAATCAACATATTACCTTGATTGACCAGCAGATCAGTCCTTGGCTGGAATTTCGAGATGCCTTCAAGTAAGGAGAGATTTAGGAATCTAGAGATATTCACTGAAGCACCCACAGGAACAAACGCAAATCAGGAGCCCTGCAGCTTGCTGTCATTGGCTCAGCAGCGGCAGCCTCAGTAAGTAGAACCAACCCTGAGGCTCAGATTCTTGCTCTTGTGGACTCTTTTACCGAGGATTAGTCAATAAGCAAGCATTTGTTAAGTACCTACTATGCACTAAGCAAGATATGTGGCATTATAAAGGACATCCTACCCCAGAACTGGGATGGCCTAACAACTACACACACAGAGAAAGAGAGAGAGAATTTTTATGCCCCAGAGTAGCGCTGGATGAAAAAAAAAATACCCTTGTGACTTAACTCCTTGGGCTATTCTTATATAAAATACCTCAGTGGAAGTCAAAGAAAAAATTTCTAGTAGGATGAATGTGATATATCTTGGGGAGGGAGTGTCTAAAGGGGCTAAGGACAAATGGTATGTGCCTGCTACACTAGGAATTATGGACACTGGTCTTTTGAGCCAGTCAGTAAATTTATAATCCTTTGCAGTTTTCTAGTCATCCATTGCCAGATCCATACTAGAAGCTTTTCAAGCTTAGTGGGTAGGGCATGTCAGTATATGCTCTTGAAAATGTGCAGGGTCACTGTTTCCCTGCCGCACTGAGTAGTGAAAGACATTTTATAGATTGCTAGTCTGTGTATCATCTCAAGGGGCCTAAGTACTATACTAGCCTCATAAGACAACAGTGTATCAAACAGTTACTATTTGAGGTAGTGTGGGATACTGGATAGTAACTCCACGTAGAGTTAGGAAGACTTGGGTTCAAATGCTACCTCTGATATTTATTAGTTATATGACCCTGGGCAAGTCACTTAATTTTTGTGAGCCTCAGTTTCCTAATCTGTAAAATGCACATAATAATACACATAATACCTACCCCATGGGGTTATTATGAGGCTCAAAGGAGATAATTTGTATAAACTTTTTACAAATTGTAAAGCATTGTGTAAATAACAGATACCATCCTCTATGATTATTCACCCTGCTCCTGGGATCCCTGATCCCCTAGAGAGAAGATAGCCATTTAAAAAATTTTACTTTTCTCTTTTTTGGTACTTATCTTTTCTGAGCTCCTGGCTTTCACATCAGAAACAATATGAACATAACCTGTTTTTCTCAAGCTCCTGACTCCTCCTCAAACCGTACTTTCTCAAGGACAACCTAGAAAGATATTATCTTATGATAATGATAACACCTACCACCACCCCCTAGCTTATATGCCTATAAGACTTATGTGTATTTCCTCTTCCCCCACCCCACCAAAAGCTTCGCAGTCCCATGGGTTACAGTGGAACAGACCTAACTGCACAATATTTTCACACCTAGCCTCTGAGGGAAGTGGTCTCCATCTATCGTGTATTACCCGTTGTACAGGGTGTACCAAAAGTCTTGGTGCAGTTTTAAGCCATTAAAGTTTAAAGAACCTTTATCAACTGCATACTATACCAAACTATTAAAGCTTAACACTGCATTAAGACGTTTGGGATATCTTGTATATTGGTGAGGTCCTACTGCTTTGCACACAATAATTGGAAATCAGGGGGGCCTGAGTGATACGTGGAGTTACCAGGGCAGGGCCTGCAATTACCAAGCTCATTAGAGAAAGGGAAACAGAAAGAAAAAAAAAGAAAGAAAGAAAGAAAGAGAGAGAGAGAGAGAGAGAGAGAGAGAGAGAGAGAGAGAGAAAGAAGAGAAAGAAAGAAAGAAAGAAAGAAAGAAAGAAAGAAAGAAAGAAAGAAAGAAAGAAAGAAAGAAAGAAAAAAAAAAAAAAAGAAAAGAAAAAGGGATACAGGTCGACATCTATTCCTGGGTATGTTTGAAATACATCTTTATTCACTTTATTTCCATAAATCTCTCATGTAATCCACTTCTTGTACTTTCTAATCTGAAGCCAGGGTACCAACTGATTAATCTATCTATCCAAATAATGAGATGTTATGGCAGGATTTTAGTGGAGTCTTGTATCATCTATGTGGGGGTGGGGTATAAAATATATATTGATGTAGACACTGTATGCTTAAAATTTTATTTCATTTTATTAATTTGTGGAATAAAACAAGCATTTTCATAATATAATACTATTATGAATACTAAACAATACACACTTATAATAGTGTGGTATTTGCAGTTTCATGTATACACAACTTGCAATTCCTTTCAAATATACAACAAAATTATCATATAAATTTCTTTTTTTCTTCCCTTCTTACTCCCCCCCACCCTAGAGATGGCTAGCTACCATTAGATACAAATAGGTAAATATATGTAAAATTTTTCTGTACATCTATTTATCACTTCTTTCTCTGGACACAGATAGTATCTTTCTTCATATGTCCTTTATAGTTAATTTGGGTATTTATAATAGTTCAATATAATAATTTAAAATTTTTAAACAGCAGTAAGTTAAATTTGAAAACAAATTCTGTTAAATTTAAATCCTGGGGATTAGTAAACTCTCTGGCTTCCATTTATGCACTTACGTAAATTGATGTGAGCTGTTGAACTCTTTTGATCACCGAATAATCGCACAAGACTTTATGAGATATCCTAGGAGTATAAAACATGATGTATGTTCTCAAGCAACTCAGAGGCAAAGCAGAAACAAGCAAGTAGAGATCATAAGGTTGTTACAAACTGTCTAGTCATTTCCTTTTGTTACTTTTTATAAAAAAAAAAAAGAAAAGAAAAGAAAAGAAAAGAAAAAGAAAGCCAGAAGTAAGTGGGAAAGGAAATGAATTTATCTAATTAAGGATGGCAAGCATGAAAATACACTTTTTTAAAATAAATTTTTATTTCTATTTTGTGTTTCTAACATTGCTATAGTATCCCATGTTTGCCTCCCTCTCCTTTTCAAAGCCATCCCATAGGACAAATAGCATTTTTTTTGGAGACAAAAAAGAGGGGGGGAAAGTCAGCATGACTGATTGATGTATTGAAAAAGTCCAAAAATATGTGCCGTGTGTAATACCTGTTACACCTCCATGAAGGGGTAGGATAGGGATGGGGTCTTCTCATATCTCTTCATTTGCATCACCAGTGAATACAAATAGTAACTTTTCTCTTTTGGCCAGCAACCCTGAGGGTCTTCCTCGCCTACTTTGATTTTTTTTTTAATTAAAGAAGCTTGACTCACTTATTAAAGAGGCTTATTCACTGAATGAGTGTTGCCTCACTCAAAGTGAGAACCTGAAAAGCCCTTAGTTTAAAAGGGCCAGGGTCTCAAGTTGTATCCTGAGCCTTCTCCAGACATCCTGACGATTACCTGGCCGCTGAACCCAGATGGCTGTGGAGGAGAAAGTGAGGCTGGTGACCTTGCACAGCCCTCCCTCCCTCAAATCAAAGTCAATTGCAAATCATATCACCATCTCTCTGATGTCATGGTCCTCTTCCAGAACAAAGGACAAACACAACAACATAATCTATATAATTTTGTTACATTTACTTTTGATTTTTTTAGTGTGTCGTTCTTTTCTTCTACATTGTTGTAGCTACTGTGTATATTGGGTTTTTTTGGCTCTTCTGACTTCACTCTGCATTAGTTCTTGCAGATCTTTCCATACTTCTCTGTATTCATCACATATATCATTTCTCACAGCACAATAATATTCCATTACATTCAAGAACCACAATTTGTTCAGTCATTGTCCAACTGATGGGCATCTACTATGTTTCTAACTTTTAAGGAAATGTACTCTTTAAGTTTTTCCTTGTCACACTGGTCCTACCCAGTCCCCACTCCAGTTTGAAAGGGAAAAGGGGATGTCACATAAGATGGGCCACAGGAACATAGGATTGTAGATATGCAGTTGGGTGGCCACTCCCAAACATGAGAGTAGTATGCTTTTTTAGTAGCTACATTTAAAGTTGCTTAGCAGAATTGGCAATATTCAGTGCTGGGGCAGCTAAGTAGAACAGTAGATAGAGCACCAGGTTAGAGTCAGGAAGACCTGAATTCAAATCCTGCCTCAGCTACTTACTGGCTGTGTGATCTTGATCACTAAACTCTTTTTGCCTCAGTTTTTTTTTCCTGTAAAATGAGCTGAAGAAGGAAATGGCCGACCACTCCTGTAGCATCTCTGCCAAGAAAATCCCAAATGAGATCATGAAGAGTCAGAGATGATTGAAAAGACTGAACAACAACAACAAATGTTTAATGCAAAGAAGAATGTAGTAGTAGAATTAGTAGTAGAAGAAGTAGTAGTTAGTAGTAGTAGTAGTAGTAGTAGTAGTAGTAGTAGTAGTAGTAGCAGCAGCAGCAGCAGTAGTAGTAGTGGTAGTAGTAGTAGTTGTTGTTGTTGCTGGGGTGGTGAAGGTAATGATAGCATTTGAGAGTCTGTCATACTGCAGTGGAATTAGTCCTGGTCAGTTTCACCCCCAGAGGCCAGAACTAGAAGAGATGGGTGAAAATTACAAAGAGCCAAATAAGACAACTCTTCCTACCAACCAAACTTTCCAAAAGGCCAGCTGGCCTCCCCAAAAGGGCTGCTTTTATGCTGAAGGGTTCCTGCTTATCAAAGACTAGGTGACCAGTTTCAAGGTATATTATATAGGTTGGACTAGATGGCCAACAAAATCCCTTCCACTTCTGAAATTCTTTGATTATGTGAAAACTGTAGCCTGCTTTATCCTTTGTGATATTTGATTTTGTGGTGCAATGATGTTTGATTTAGTATGTCTCCTTTCAAAGAGTAATAATTCCAGTTTGCAAAGGTTGCAGTCTCTGGAGGTGAAATCAGCCTCATATCTGTAAGAGGGAGTCAGAGTGGTAGAGAGGACAATCACTAGTCAGAGTCTCACCTGGCTGCATGCCTTTGAGATTTCTATGATTGACTTCTCTACCATGCCCCAAGAAGCTCATTACTGGGGAAATGTCATCATCTTGCAGAATCTCACTGGTTCTTTAGCCATGGTTCCCCATCTCATCATCACCATTGAGTGTCTCTAATGGGAGGTGGGGGGAGGCATGAAGCCATGAAATCTAAAACCTTCATTTAAGAAGGAAGCTTCTCTCAGAACATCTCATTTCTCACCTGTCTGCACTACTTGGTGACTTCTTTGACTTCCACCATACCCCAGAATTAGGGACCTTCCCTGGACTCTCCCAAAACCCCTCTCCCTACTTTACAGCTTCTTTTTGTGTGTTTTCTTCCCCCATTACATCGTAAGCTCCTTGAGGACTGTCTTTCTTTTTTTCATTTTTGCATCCCCAGCGCTTATAGTACAATGCCTGGCACATAGTAGGCACTTAATAAA